TTTTCCAGAATAAAACTGTATATAATATTTACCAGATATTTGTCATGAAGAGGACTGGACAAGAGCAACAAAAGCTTTAAACAAAAACGGTTTGAACTATATACAAGTGTAGTACACATGCAAACAAATGCAAAAATAGTTATTTTTATTGTAATATTAATTTGGTGGTGTAAACTATGTAATTTTAAGCTTTGTATATTAATACTCTATATTCAAATATTGTAAATAAATTACGACATTTATAGTGAAAGTACCTGGATGACCTGTTAGACGGTTATAGGATACTGGAGTTTTTGGCCGAAAGTACAATTTTCTATTTAATTTGGCAAATAAAAATCGAAAAAAAACAAAAGTAAAAACTCTGAATCCGACCGGGATTCGAACCCGGACACCTGTGATTGGTAATCTTGCGCCTTGGCCCCTTGAGCACGATGCTTATGCCCCAGCGTGCGGAATTAGCGACCATATTTAACGTGGAATATTGCGAAAGAAAACCGCATGAAAACACGAAAACACGCGTTTCCCCAGACATAAGACTAATCTGGATTGATTTTTCGTCTCCGAAAACCCTTACATACCAAATTTCCGGGAAATCATTAGAGCCGTTTCCGAGATCGCCGGTATATATTATAAATAAACAAATATACAAGAATTGCTCCTTTAAAGGTATTAGATATACAAAAGAAATAAAACACGCCAAAGGTCGCGCGCGGAGCGTAAATAATCTGTACCTAAGTAAATTGATTAGTATCTAAAACTAGAATAATGCTTACTGTTACGTAGATAATATCTAAAAACGCTTCTTACATCAATCAAGCAAAAATAAATAAACCAATAAAAGATAATCTGTCTTTACAAAATATTTTCACTTCCAAAATGTTCTTCAATTAATCTTCAAGTACAACGGAATATAATAGATAATGATCCATTTATTAAACTTGGCAAAACAAAAGTAAGTTACAATCGTAAATTATAATGGATTAGAACCAACAAATACACTTTCTAATTTATAATATTAAAATATATAAATATATGCAATATAGGTAGCTAATTAATAAATCGCTTGGATAGTCACGTAACGCAAGCTTAAACCTCAGGTCTAGCTTGGTAATTTTTTCATGGTTTATTCATGGTTATCACTTGTTAATACGAAAGACAACGTCAACGAAGAAAGTCACAGAAAAGACTGTGAAGAAATCTTAAAGATATCTGAGAGAACTTAACTAGTTTTCAAGTGACGTAAAAAATCCATCCGTATAACCACAGATTATATAAGTACTATACTTAGTAGTATAACAAAGCCATTAGAAAGAAGCCCTTGGTGGTTTTTTTTTTTTAAATGAATAAAAATCTGATTCACGCCGCTCGCTTTGCCAACCCGTATGGTGCGATGGAGAGTTGCAAGTCTTAGAGGCAATTACCTACATTTCCTTTTTGAAATATTATTTCGGGCGATAACGTTTTCAACCCCCTTAACATTTACGAAATAAAACAATTCTGGGGGCTTAGCCATGATGACTATCTACAATCGTTAACGATTTAGAAAACTAATGAAATGTATGGGCATTACGTATTTTGAACGATATGTCACGTGGTCAAAACGATCGAATTGAAAATTCGTAGCCAAGTTTACAAGGTACATAGTTCGTTCTAAAAATAGAAACGAACTGAGCGATTCTACAATGTGGATCACAAGATCTCATACAAAATGGTAGCCAAGTTGCACGTTTGACAAGCGCTTGAGAATTCAAATCTAAGTTCTTTAACGCTATCTAAACGAACGGCGAGACCCTTGAGTTAACGCTAAAAAAGTGGCGTCTATAACTTTAAAGTTTAGAATCAGCTCACAGCTGCTATAAGACAGAAGTGTTTTGTTAATTCGCGTTGATTTTAGACTATTTATATTTTCGTTTTAGCATTTAAAATGTATAAAATGTATACCTTAAATATGTTGCGGTCCGGTCATAACGAAGAAGTGTGGTTAAAATGCCGGCAAAGAGATTTATATCTTCAGTATATCGAAACAATACATGAAATGTCGGGCACTTTGTTTATACAACGATTTCGGTTAAGCAAAGTGACTTTCGAAGCCCTCGTTCAAGACCTACGACGGAAAACTTCTTTAAAAGGATCCAATGAGATTCCACTAGAAGTTAAGGTAAGATATGCCAAATATGTAATTCTGCTGTTTTAAGTACAAGAATAAATGTGCCTAGCCTACCATTTATTTTGTTTCATTACATGAGTTCATGAACACACGCACGCATGGTGTAACTTGCATAAGACTTTTGTTAAATGTACAAAAAATGTGATATTTTAATTCAATGTTAAACAATACATATATACCAGCAAACAGTCCATTTAGTTATCGAAGCCTACACAACCCTAACAATCACTATTATTTATTTCTTTTTGGCTGTCTTTTATAGGTGTTGTGCGCAGTTAGTTTCCTGGCTACAGGGTCCTATCAACGAATTGTTGGTATTACTCACAATCTTCCTCAACGCACAACTAGTCGCTGCATCCGACAAGTAGTCGATGCTTTGAACCACCCCGCTATTATGGCAAAATGGATTGTGTTTCCGAAAACAAGGCAAGACAGAGGACATGTAAAACAAGAGTATGTATCATATTATATATTTACAATTTTACTCTTAGGTACATGTAATGCATTTAATAATATAACTTATTGTTTTAGGTTTCAGAGTAGATTTGGTCTGCCTGGTGTAATCGGGTGCATAGATTGCACCCATGTGGCTTTAGTTAAGCCCAATGATGAAGAACATGTTTTTTATAACAGAAAAGGGTATCATTCATTAAATGTTCAAATGGTAATTGTATTTATTTATGACTTGTTTTAGGTAAAATAATATAAAAACATTTCTGAATATTAGTTTCACTTTACAGATTTGTGACAGTCATCTTCGCATCACAAATGTGAATGCAAAGTTTGGTGGAGCTACACACGATTCACATATATGGTCATCTAGTAAAGCTGAATCATACATGCGTGAACTTCATCAAAATAATGAACAAGTATGGTTATTAGGTAAGTGTTTACAAAAATAACATGAAAGATGTAATTGATATGTTAGTAGTAGTAGTAGTAGTAAGTAGTAGTAGAAGAATTGGTTTGTTTTGTTTACAAAAACAATTTTTTCAGGTGATTCTGGATATCCACAACGCCCTTGGCTTATGACTCCCATCCTCAATGCAGTTCCAGGTTCAAGAGAAGAACTATATACCCAAAAACATGTGCAAGCGCGTAATTGCATTGAACGCTGTTTTGGATTACTCAAAGCACGGTGGAGATGTTTGCTTCGAGATAGGACACTTCACTATCATCCTTATGTAGCTAGCAAAATAATAGCGGCATGTTGTGTCCTGCACAACATTGCATTGAAAGCCCGTTTACCATTACCACAACCACTTCCAGTTGCACATGAGGATGAAAGTGATATACCCATGCGAGCTCCCATCTCTACCACTATAGATAGCCAAAATGAGCTAATCCAAGGTAGGGTCATGTTGAATTGCTTATTAAATAGGTTACATTAGGAGTATTACACAGTTTTAACTAGTTAAATAACTCATTGTATATCACAAAGATCTGAATCTAGAATTAAGACCTTTCTATGTTATTTTGTGCACCTGTGATAACAAAAATGATTTGATTTGATAGGTTTTAGGCTAGTTGTACATATTAATTAGTAATAGTAAGAAATATTCGATTTTTCACATTCGCGAATGCGAATTTTTATCTTCAATATTCACGAATGCGAATGTTGTTGAAATTAAATAAAAATAGGCTGCATGGAAAAAGAGCTTGAAATCTTTTATTTTTAAACTTTAGATTCCTTTACATCAATTTAATTACTAAGAATTTAAAGTTACAGCAAGTTTATTTATAATTAATATTAATTATTATTCTATTGGTCAACATTGTTATTAACATATAATTGTGTAGTTTATATTTCATTATCATTAATTTATAGTTATTATATAATACGTTTTAACGTTTAGTACAGATTTCTCAAAAATGAGATATTTTCCCGCAGTAAAAAGTATTCTTTATGTTGACGCAGCTACTATTATGCAAAATTTCATCAAAATCTGTCCAGTGATTTTCTCGTGATGCATTCTTAAACAGACAGAAAAAAATTCTAAAAACTACAAAATCCGCCTCTGTGTCGGTAATAACATATTATATTAAATATATAGAAGAAAATATATAGTGAAAAAATATATCGTTGGAACCGAAGGTTAAATAAAAATTATGGATATTAGAACTTTACTTTTGTTTATATAACCGTTAAAATATTGTTTTGTTTTCTGTTAAAAGAAATTATAACTTTATTTACAAACGGTTCAGTTAAGTATTCACTATTATTATTTTTTAGTTTATAATTCATTAGCCTTAATTCTTAGAAAAATATATATAATGGAATGGAAAAATATACATGAAAGCCAAAGGTTATATAACATATTGGATATTATAAGTTTAAGTTTGTTTCAAATATATTTTTGTTTTCTGTAAATGAAAAGTTTACAATCTGCTAAATAAGTACAAACCTTCTATAATTGTAATCCTAGATATTGTTATTAATTTGATTAGTCTTCTCAAGTTTTTTTTTTAACATGTTGGGACATTAACACACAGCACCATCTAGTTCCATCGTAAGCTACGAGGCTTGTGTTATGTATACCAGATAGTTGATACACTACACATATATAAACTTTAAAAACATACATATTTTAAATATAAACACCCATGACTGGAGTACAAACATTCATGCTCATCAGACAATGAATGCCCCCAGCGGACCTCGAACCCGCGACCGCTGGCACAACAAGTAGGGTCACTACACACTGAGCCAAACGTGTCGTCAATTCAGTTCGTTCTTCACAAAAAAGATAATTTAGAATCTTTTTTTAAATATAAGGCTGAATATCCTTTTTTTTATTTAGATGTGATATTTTTAAATTTTTCAATTAGACTAACTAGAACAAATGGGAAATTATTTCGTTTCAGGCAAATACTTGTCAAAAAATATTCGAATATTCGTTATCTACATCACTAATATTAACGTGAATATTTGCATTTTTCTTTTTTTACTAGGTATATGTATATTATAAAATGTATGAATATAATATTTAATAAGTAATTGTAAAAATGAAACAAATGTTTTCATTATACTAAATGCCTTTATTATTATGTAAACTCTTATTGTAAGGAAGACGAGGTTTTTAGCATAAAAATGTACTTAAAATGTATTAACAAAAATAAAATAAATTTAAAAACATTAATAAAAATCTGTATTTAAAAAAAATACCTATTTCCTTTTTGAAAAGAATTGCAAAGGATTGAAATAAAACATGCTGAAAATTCAGACAATTTGACACATTCACAAGTGAGGCCACCATTACTGGACACATCAAGACAGAATAACTGTTGAAGCCAGTGATGATGGTCTCAACTGAGTTAAAATTTCTGTCAAACTATCTAGAATCCCAGTTAAACGGTTAAACATTTGATTTTGGATTTCTTCCATTTCAATCCTTCGCGATTCCAATCGAAGGCGTTCCATCTCCCTCTGATGGTTATTTTTTTCGCGGTCTTCCTCCAATTGCAGTCGGCGATTCTCGACGGTTACGAACTCGCTCGTGGCTCGTTCGAATGGTGTCTGTACTCGCCTTGTGCGTGCTCGAAGCAGCCTATGCCGCCGCGGCGTAGACGTGGCAGGTGACGCCACGGGCGAAGGGGTCGCCGGACGCCTTCGTCGTTGTGGTTCGCCTCGTATAGTTGTATTACGAGACGTCGCTGACGGCATCGGCGTGGTCACAGAGGCGAGCGGTGGTGTTGACACTCGGGTTGGAGGAAGACGTGAAAGTATAGAGGGAGATGGCAGTTGAGCTGATGGGGCAGGAGACGCTGAGGAAACAAAACTTATAGTTACAAACTGATATATATATATATTACTTCTCAAATAATGCCCTTACCAATGAACAGCATTTAATTTTTATTTATATGACTTAACGCTTTGTTAACCCTTTGGGCAATACAAAGCAAGGTGTGAATTATACATTATAATCCTTCACGTGCAAATACATTTTAGCACATAATGAATACAAGTAGAAAGTACCTTCTATAGAATACAACATAATCTCGTCTGCGGCAGTTTGGGAGGGAAATTCAGTGTGGACGGTATCTCTGGATGGTGATGGTAGAGGGCTTCCTTGAAGTGGTGGTTCCTGAGAATATGACAAATATACATTAAAGAATTCAACCTAAACCCACTTATTAGTGGGTAGTAGTAATCTAATATTACTATTATTACAACTACTACTACAAAAATCACAAGGAAAGTAAATAACTAACATCAAATCCTCTCTCCTCAATTCCAACTAGACCAAAAACAGCAGACAAACCCATTATGCCCAACACCCTTTGTTCCGAAGCTGTGAGAGTTTGTCTGCTGCTTGGACCACCACCAGTACCACTAGCCTCGCGACGCATTGCCAAGGCCTTTTTTTTTGTTTTGGCTTTCCAATCCGCCCACACCTGCAGATATTAGTCAGTTAATGTTAAATAATGTAAGTTGTTATCTAATTATTGATTTGATGATATATATATATATATATATATATATATATATATATATATATATATATATATATTTGTTGTATATTATTTATCATATTTGCGTTTTGTCGCATTATATAGGGGATTGTAACTGAAGATCTTTTTTAATTTATTCCTCAACCACATAAAATTTAATTAAAATATTTCTACACAAAGCTGTGCCTTTTAGTTAATTAAATAGAATTAAATAGAAAAGAAGAAAATTAATTAAATAGAAAATAGAGAACTATTATTGTGTTAAACTCATGTCACTATGTAAATATAGTTAGTAAGCCTTTGACAAAAAATAAATAAAATATAATAGGTTTACTACTTGCATAGAAAACAAACAAAACTATTGTATTCACCAGCAAAGATGCTTGACACCTCTAGGTAAATTTCTAAGAAATTAATTAAAATTCTAAGAAATTTATTGTTAACTGACATGCCGGCGTGTCCGCGCTCGTGGAGGGATTAATCAATAGACCCTTTATTTTTCTAATATAGTTTTAATTTATAGCCATGGAGATATAGCAAGACCCCAACAAGGGGCTCAAGGCAGGATAAGGGCAGACCATCTATGGCAGGAGTTGAGAGAGTTACTTAACTCCATTGGTGGAGGAGTCAATAGATCAATGGAAAAATGGAAAAAAGTGAGATCCATTATTTTAATTCTCAAGAAAAGCTCTCAATAAAATTATACATTTTTTTATAGGTATTTCAAGCTCAGACTAGTGTTAGCATATTTATCTATTTTAGTTTAATTAAAACAATTGCAAACCAATCATAAGGTACAATAAATATTTACTATATAGTAAAAAGAGGCAAAAATAATTATATGAAAATATGTCCTTCATCTTTCTCACACAACTTTAAACATACTAATAAAATCTGTTCATTATCAATAAACAGAATAATAGTAGATATCAGTGTATATAACAATCTGTTCACTTAATTGACTGTATAATTAGATAACAACTTACATTATTTAACATTAACTGACTAATATCTGCAGGTGTGGGCGGATTGGAAAGCCAAAACAAAAAAAAAGGCCTTGGCAATGCGTCGCGAGGCTAGTGGTACTGGTGGTGGTCCAAGCAGCAGACAAACTCTCACAGCTTCGGAACAAAGGGTGTTGGGCATAATGGGTTTGTCTGCTGTTTTTGGTCTAGTTGGAATTGAGGAGAGAGGATTTGATGTTAGTTATTTACTTTCCTTGTGATTTTTGTAGTAGTAGTTGTAATAATAGTAATATTAGATTACTACTACCCACTAATAAGTGGGTTTAGGTTGAATTCTTTAATGTATATTTGTCATATTCTCAGGAACCACCACTTCAAGGAAGCCCTCTACCATCACCATCCAGAGATACCGTCCACACTGAATTTCCCTCCCAAACTGCCGCAGACGAGATTATGTTGTATTCTATAGAAGGTACTTTCTACTTGTATTCATTATGTGCTAAAATGTATTTGCACGTGAAGGATTATAATGTATAATTCACACCTTGCTTTGTATTGCCCAAAGGGTTAACAAAGCGTTAAGTCATATAAATAAAAATTAAATGCTGTTCATTGGTAAGGGCATTATTTGAGAAGTAATATATATATATCAGTTTGTAACTATAAGTTTTGTTTCCTCAGCGTCTCCTGCCCCATCAGCTCAACTGCCATCTCCCTCTATACTTTCACGTCTTCCTCCAACCCGAGTGTCAACACCACCGCTCGCCTCTGTGACCACGCCGATGCCGTCAGCGACGTCTCGTAATACAACTATACGAGGCGAACCACAACGACGAAGGCGTCCGGCGACCCCTTCGCCCGTGGCGTCACCTGCCACGTCTACGCCACGGCGGCATAGGCTGCTTCGAGCACGCACAAGGCGAGTACAGACACCATTCGAACGAGCCACGAGCGAGTTCGTAACCGTCGAGAATCGCCGACTGCAATTGGAGGAAGACCGCGAAAAAAATAACCATCAGAGGGAGATGGAACGCCTTCGATTGGAATCGCGAAGGATTGAAATGGAAGAAATCCAAAATCAAATGTTTAACCGTTTAACTGGGATTCTAGATAGTTTGACAGAAATTTTAACTCAGTTGAGACCATCATCACTGGCTTCAACAGTTATTCTGTCTTGATGTGTCCAGTAATGGTGGCCTCACTTGTGAATGTGTCAAATTGTCTGAATTTTCAGCATGTTTTATTTCAATCCTTTGCAATTCTTTTCAAAAAGGAAATAGGTATTTTTTTTAAATACAGATTTTTATTAATGTTTTTAAATTTATTTTATTTTTGTTAATACATTTTAAGTACATTTTTATGCTAAAAACCTCGTCTTCCTTACAATAAGAGTTTACATAATAATAAAGGCATTTAGTATAATGAAAACATTTGTTTCATTTTTACAATTACTTATTAAATATTATATTCATACATTTTATAATATACATATACCTAGTAAAAAAAGAAAAATGCAAATATTCACGTTAATATTAGTGATGTAGATAACGAATATTCGAATATTTTTTGACAAGTATTTGCCTGAAACGAAATAATTTCCCATTTGTTCTAGTTAGTCTAATTGAAAAATTTAAAAATATCACATCTAAATAAAAAAAAGGATATTCAGCCTTATATTTAAAAAAAGATTCTAAATTATCTTTTTTGTGAAGAACGAACTGAATTGACGACACGTTTGGCTCAGTGTGTAGTGACCCTACTTGTTGTGCCAGCGGTCGCGGGTTCGAGGTCCGCTGGGGGCATTCATTGTCTGATGAGCATGAATGTTTGTACTCCAGTCATGGGTGTTTATATTTAAAATATGTATGTTTTTAAAGTTTATATATGTGTAGTGTATCAACTATCTGGTATACATAACACAAGCCTCGTAGCTTACGATGGAACTAGATGGTGCTGTGTGTTAATGTCCCAACATGTTAAAAAAAAAACTTGAGAAGACTAATCAAATTAATAACAATATCTAGGATTACAATTATAGAAGGTTTGTACTTATTTAGCAGATTGTAAACTTTTCATTTACAGAAAACAAAAATATATTTGAAACAAACTTAAACTTATAATATCCAATATGTTATATAACCTTTGGCTTTCATGTATATTTTTCCATTCCATTATATATATTTTTCTAAGAATTAAGGCTAATGAATTATAAACTAAAAAATAATAATAGTGAATACTTAACTGAACCGTTTGTAAATAAAGTTATAATTTCTTTTAACAGAAAACAAAACAATATTTTAACGGTTATATAAACAAAAGTAAAGTTCTAATATCCATAATTTTTATTTAACCTTCGGTTCCAACGATATATTTTTTCACTATATATTTTCTTCTATATATTTAATATAATATGTTATTACCGACACAGAGGCGGATTTTGTAGTTTTTAGAATTTTTTTCTGTCTGTTTAAGAATGCATCACGAGAAAATCACTGGACAGATTTTGATGAAATTTTGCATAATAGTAGCTGCGTCAACATAAAGAATACTTTTTACTGCGGGAAAATATCTCATTTTTGAGAAATCTGTACTAAACGTTAAAACGTATTATATAATAACTATAAATTAATGATAATGAAATATAAACTACACAATTATATGTTAATAACAATGTTGACCAATAGAATAATAATTAATATTAATTATAAATAAACTTGCTGTAACTTTAAATTCTTAGTAATTAAATTGATGTAAAGGAATCTAAAGTTTAAAAATAAAAGATTTCAAGCTCTTTTTCCATGCAGCCTATTTTTATTTAATTTCAACAACATTCGCATTCGTGAATATTGAAGATAAAAATTCGCATTCGCGAATGTGAAAAATCGAATATTTCTTACTATTACTAATTAATATGTACAACTAGCCTAAAACCTATCAAATCAAATCATTTTTGTTATCACAGGTGCACAAAATAACATAGAAAGGTCTTAATTCTAGATTCAGATCTTTGTGATATACAATGAGTTATTTAACTAGTTAAAACTGTGTAATACTCCTAATGTAACCTATTTAATAAGCAATTCAACATGACCCTACCTTGGATTAGCTCATTTTGGCTATCTATAGTGGTAGAGATGGGAGCTCGCATGGGTATATCACTTTCATCCTCATGTGCAACTGGAAGTGGTTGTGGTAATGGTAAACGGGCTTTCAATGCAATGTTGTGCAGGACACAACATGCCGCTATTATTTTGCTAGCTACATAAGGATGATAGTGAAGTGTCCTATCTCGAAGCAAACATCTCCACCGTGCTTTGAGTAATCCAAAACAGCGTTCAATGCAATTACGCGCTTGCACATGTTTTTGGGTATATAGTTCTTCTCTTGAACCTGGAACTGCATTGAGGATGGGAGTCATAAGCCAAGGGCGTTGTGGATATCCAGAATCACCTGAAAAAATTGTTTTTGTAAACAAAACAAACCAATTCTTCTACTACTACTTACTACTACTACTACTACTAACATATCAATTACATCTTTCATGTTATTTTTGTAAACACTTACCTAATAACCATACTTGTTCATTATTTTGATGAAGTTCACGCATGTATGATTCAGCTTTACTAGATGACCATATATGTGAATCGTGTGTAGCTCCACCAAACTTTGCATTCACATTTGTGATGCGAAGATGACTGTCACAAATCTGTAAAGTGAAACTAATATTCAGAAATGTTTTTATATTATTTTACCTAAAACAAGTCATAAATAAATACAATTACCATTTGAACATTTAATGAATGATACCCTTTTCTGTTATAAAAAACATGTTCTTCATCATTGGGCTTAACTAAAGCCACATGGGTGCAATCTATGCACCCGATTACACCAGGCAGACCAAATCTACTCTGAAACCTAAAAACAATAAGTTATATTATTAAATGCATTACATGTACCTAAGAGTAAAATTGTAAATATATAATATGATACATACTCTTGTTTTACATGTCCTCTGTCTTGCCTTGTTTTCGGAAACACAATCCATTTTGCCATAATAGCGGGGTGGTTCAAAGCATCGACTACTTGTCGGATGCAGCGACTAGTTGTGCGTTGAGGAAGATTGTGAGTAATACCAACAATTCGTTGATAGGACCCTGTAGCCAGGAAACTAACTGCGCACAACACCTATAAAAGACAGCCAAAAAGAAATAAATAATAGTGATTGTTAGGGTTGTGTAGGCTTCGATAACTAAATGGACTGTTTGCTGGTATATATGTATTGTTTAACATTGAATTAAAATATCACATTTTTTTGTACATTTAACAAAAGTCTTATGCAAGTTACACCATGCGTGCGTGTGTTCATGAACTCATGTAATGAAACAAAATAAATGGTAGGCTAGGCACATTTATTCTTGTACTTAAAACAGCAGAATTACATATTTGGCATATCTTACCTTAACTTCTAGTGGAATCTCATTGGATCCTTTTAAAGAAGTTTTCCGTCGTAGGTCTTGAACGAGGGCTTCGAAAGTCACTTTGCTTAACCGAAATCGTTGTATAAACAAAGTGCCCGACATTTCATGTATTGTTTCGATATACTGAAGATATAAATCTCTTTGCCGGCATTTTAACCACACTTCTTCGTTATGACCGGACCGCAACATATTTAAGGTATACATTTTATACATTTTAAATGCTAAAACGAAAATATAAATAGTCTAAAATCAACGCGAATTAACAAAACACTTCTGTCTTATAGCAGCTGTGAGCTGATTCTAAACTTTAAAGTTATAGACGCCACTTTTTTAGCGTTAACTCAAGGGTCTCGCCGTTCGTTTAGATAGCGTTAAAGAACTTAGATTTGAATTCTCAAGCGCTTGTCAAACGTGCAACTTGGCTACCATTTTGTATGAGATCTTGTGATCCACATTGTAGAATCGCTCAGTTCGTTTCTATTTTTAGAACGAACTATGTACCTTGTAAACTTGGCTACGAATTTTCAATTCGATCGTTTTGACCACGTGACATATCGTTCAAAATACGTAATGCCCATACATTTCATTAGTTTTCTAAATCGTTAACGATTGTAGATAGTCATCATGGCTAAGCCCCCTGGTCTCATTAGATTCAGTAAACCTTAATCTAGGTCTGTACGTTTTTCTTTTTTAGTAATTCAGCTTAGTTAAATTAAAAAAAAAAAACGCTCGAGGAAGTTTTTAAGACAAAAATATAGATATTTAGATGCTTATAATTTCTATACTATGCAATATGTCTTTGAAATAAAAACTTATGGACCTAGTTTTTGATTATATCTACAATAGTCCCAAAAGTTATGAAAATTAGACCGTGTTTATGGGGGGAAAACGTTATCGCTTTTTGTATTAAAATTTACAGCTTCACAACCCTCTTAAAAGAGGCATATTGTTATTCTGCTGACCGACTTCGGCTACGGTGGCCAATCTCACTGAGGCACTGTAAACCAACTGAACATTAGATAATATGGTATATAAGTTTCTGCACAAACACAACATGCACTCTATTCTTTGTTCTCTCAAAGTCCAATGGTATGATACTTCGACATGACAGGGATGGCTCGTACATCGGCAACTTACCAACTTCTCGTTGTTACTAAATCTAAATAGAAATATGCAATAACTATAACTTACCCCACCACGACTGAACTTAAGCCCATGACCTTTGGATCCGCTGCCGCATATGCTAGCCACTAGACCACAGCACTTTATATTAAAATTATTTTAAAACTAGCGAGAAAAGCACAAGCAGATCTATCCCAAGGGAACCATTCATTTTTCCGGGATATAAAGTAACCTGTTGTTTGACCGGCAATATAAGGTATCAGCATACCAAATTTTACTAAATTAGGTACATAAGTTGTTGTGTACTAAGCTGTATAAGTAACTATAGTTTTTTAACTATCACACGGGAACCCTTTGATTTTCCGGAATGAAAAGTATCTTAGATGTTGACCGGGGATAAAAGGTACCACCATGCAAAATTTCATTTAAATCGGTCCAATAGATTCGGATATTAGCCCGTACAAACAGACAACCAGACAGAGAAACAAAAAAATTGAATAAAATGTGGGCTGGTTCTATTTGTCTTCTTACATCCCCCTCGACTCGGTTTTTAGCATTTTTTTCTATGTACAGACATTCGACCTCTACAGTTTTATTATAGTATAGATGTAAACATTAAAACTAAGTAATAAAATCACTAATGCTTATGTTTTTATGACATACTAGCAGAACCCGCGGCTTCGCTCAAGCTAAAACTACAAAAAATCTCTAAAAAGGTAGGTACCTAGGTTTCATACAAATTTTCTTCCGCTATTTTACCCCCTTATAAGATGAATTTCGAAAATGCTAAAACACGTTTTTATTTATTTCAATTGAAGAGCATTAATGCCAAGATCATAAATATTTTTTAGATTGTATTATAACATGTTTTCCCGTGGGAATGAGATGGTCTCCCGCGATAAAAGGTAGCCTATGTCACTCTCCAGCTCTCCGACTATTTTCGCACCAAAAATCACGCTAATCCGTCTTTCCATCTCGACGTGCAAGAAAGACAAACAAACACACTTTCACATTTATAATATTAGTATAGATATGTATATTAGTATGGAAGTATGGATTTGGTGGTGTATATTGACATTCTCTACTGCATTTTATTTTAAGATCCATAGTGATAACATACGTAATACCTAGCGATTATAAATAATGGTATGTGGCAATGAATACACTATACAACTCTTTGATCTAAGTGTACGCCACTTTCAAAAACGCATAGACATACTCGGATTTTGACTCCATACTAATATTTAAATGTGAAAGTGTGTTTGTTTGTTTGTTTGTCCTTTTTTCACGTCGAAACAGAGTAACGGATTGGCGTAATTTTTTGTGTAGAGATTGTTGGAGAGTTGAAGATTGACATGGGCTACTATCTATGAATTACCTAAAATTTATTTTAGGTAATACATAGAGCTAACAATTAATTACTTGCATAGGGGCATAACGTTGATCTCGCAGAACGCAGAACGTCAGAAAGACAAAATTATTAAAAACTCCTGAGCTATTCCCGTACAAAAAACAAACAGACGAAAACTTAGAAATCTCTAATAGTAATAAATAATTGATTGAGGAATAATATGTAAAATAAACCCAAACAATCGAATTTCAAGAATATCTGATCTTCAGCGCCACCTAGGTCAAAGATTTCTATGACGTATACGAAAGTTATAAAGCAATGCATCATCTATTGGAAACATTTTACAATGAGATAAATCAATAGTTCATGACTTAAAGTTCGTAATATCGCTGGCGACCACTTAACCTTATAACAAGAAAAAACCAAAACCGGAATAATACTTCCTGTTACATAAATTATATCTAGAAACAATAATCACTTCTTACATCAATCAAGCAAAAATAAACAAAGCTGAGTCCAATCAAAACATTATGTTTATTTACAGAATATTGTCCCGAACAAAATGTTCTTTAATTGATCTTCAAATACGAAGGAAAGAAGCCGACGTCGTCGTAAATTATTCTTGACGTAAAAAAAGTAAGTTACCGTTTTTTTTATGATATATAATATTAAAAAATAAATACTAAAATTACTGACATCCATAACATTAAAATCGAATTTTAAAATAGTTTGACATATATACATTTAAGTAGAAACATATAAATGGTACCTTAATGACAGTAATTAGGTAGTGTAGTGTCATTATCTGTTGCATTAAATTTGAAGATCCAAAGAGATAGCATTTATAATACTTAATGATTATAATAATAATACTTAATGGTTTGTGGTAAAGGGAATACAATATACCGCTCTTCAAAAAACTTTCAACTACACTTACTCGTAGTTTCTTTATTACGTTGTTTTTAAGAAGTAGCGTATGGCATTGAATTCCATATATTACAAAAAGGTAGAAATATAAATATGGCGCTCAAAAAGATTTAATAAATATTTCATAAAAATTATCGAGAGAACACACGCGGGGAGCCTACCAAATCTGGTTCCCGGTCTGTTCCTACCTAGAAAAAATTTATGTCAGCAGAAGGCATACCTTGGATCTTTATTATAACTGGTGTTTGCCCAGTGATTGTAATTCGACCATTATCATTTTATTATTCATAATAAATCTCGTCAATAGCTACTAACAAAAAAGTAAATTGGTTGACAAGCAGAATAAAAAAGAAGGATACTGAACTGTTTTGTCTTTGCCTATTTTTATATAGATATCTAATAAAATCACAAAAGGACACTAAAACGTATTATTAAAATATACATTATTATACTTTCTTATCATGTTTTAGAATATGACAATAAATGTAAAAGATGGGTGCGCAGTTAATGATGCAATTGTACTTGTGATGAAAGTAGCGCGTTGGTTCGGCATCGCTCCGGTGCGCTTTGTGAAAGTTCGTGGTACAACCGTCATGTACATCTCACGTGCATTCTTCATTTTTGGGATTTTATTGAATATTTTAGTCAGTAAGTCGTTATTATAATTTATTAATACTAGTGTTCGCAAGTGGTCAAAATTTGATCATAGTGACTATTGAAAATTTGGTAAACATATAAGAATTGATATAGATATTGTCTTTGCCGTAGTGGCATTACCCGCAGCTTCGCCCGCGTCCAAACTTCCGATCACTAACAAAATTCAAAGGATCACCCGTTGGGCTAATCTGAATATTACCTGAAAATTTCATCACAATCGCTCCAGCTGTTTTGGAATCCATAGGAAACATACATACATACATACATCGATTTTTATTTTATTTAATCAACAATTTAAATTTATATATTGAGAAATAATATGAAACACGACCTTATTTTTGCAAATACTAAAGTATGTATAAGTTTGTTTTTTCTTTCTTGGTTTAATCGCGGCCGAAGCCGCGGTTCTGCTAGTTAAATATAAAATGTTTTAGGAATTCTATGTATTAAATTAGATATTTTATTCGCAGACTATTCATTGGGTCAGAAACTATTTTTGTCAATTATTATATCAATAACAAAAAAGAAGACTTATAAAAAAGAGACAAATATAATTTTACTGATAAGCGACTTCGTGCTTACCTTACTATTGACGAGTCATGGTACATTCGGTGGCATCAGAAGAAATAAGAATTTCATGCGTTGTATAGAGAAAATTAACAAGGTACGAATTATCGTATTCTACTACATACCTTTATTTTTAAATCAAGTAATTATATTTAGATATAACAAATCCTCATTCTACGTGACATTGGCGAAGTAATCCGTACTCATCTGACAGCAGTCATCTATAATATAAAAATGAATCTCTGAATGTGTTAGTAAGCGCAAAACTCGAGAGCAGCTAAACCGATTTCGCTAATTCTTTTTTAAGAATATTCCGTGAAGTACGAAGATGGTTCTTACGGAGAGAAAAATTTAAAAAAAATGCCTGAAAAAGTCTAAAAATAACACATTTCTGTACTCCCAAATCTATAATATAAAAATGAATCGCTGAATGTGTTGGTAAGCGCAAAACTCGAGAGCAGCTGAAACGATTTCGCTAATTCTTTTTTAAGAATATTCCGTGAAGTACGAAGATGGTTCTTACGGAGAGAAAAAATTAAAATAATGCCTGAAAAAGTCTAAAAATAACACATTTCTGTACTCCCAAACAAAAGATTCGTAATAATACTTAAAAGTCAATTTGAACTTTAATACCATAACATAAAATTTAAGTGTTATTGGAGAGCTTTCGGGAAGGCAAAACATTCATGGTAATTGAGTGACATTAGAATCGTATAAATATTAATGTCAATATTTGTCCACATTATTAACAAAAAAAATTATATGGCTAACGCTGGCTAATAACTATTTATATCTATTTAAAATGTACCTACCGACAAACCCGAGCGAAGCGAGGGTGAGCCGCTAGTAAACAATATAATTAATTGAATTGAACAAATCCTCATCTTTTCTTCAACGATGAATTCAGGGACCAGTTAATTATGTTAGTTATTAGTTTTATTAATAATTCAAATTAAATTTCCGAAAATAGTAAGATTTTCCGAAAAGATTTGGTATCACATCTTGCATATTATTATGAGTCAAAAAAATATATTGATTTAAGCATATTAATAGTTTGCTGCATCTTTTCTCTAATTTTATATATACATATATGTTGAAAACCATGTTTAGCAACAGTAACAACAAATATATTATAGTAATGTCCTCCCGACCGATTTTGGCCACGGCGGCAAATCACATTGAGACTGTGCGCGCATACACAAGTATCACCCTCTATTCCGGTCACTCTCATACTCTGGTGGGACGACTTCTCTTCACCATCAGTGAGAGTTAAGGCGTAGGACCGACGGCTTTACGTAATCTCCGAGGTACGGTGGTGAAAAACCGCCAATTTCCCAACTGAGACTTGCTAAACAGAAAAACTCAATAACTAAACTTGGCCTGAGCCCAGGACCTCCGGGTGTGCAACCGTACATGCTAGCCACTACTAGTGCACAAAATACTACTACTAATAGTGCACAAAAGTGCGCACAAACACAAGTGCACTCTCTATACCTATAACTCTCAAAGTTCGATGAAGATAAAACGTTATTTTGTCAAGGCAAGAGTTTTAAGAGTTATGGCACAGGACCGACGACTTTAAGTGCTTTCAAAGCTACGGAGGTAAAACACCGCCAACATTCCAACTCCGAACCACTGCTGCGAATAATTTCAATAAACCATTTTAATAAACTTATTTGATTTAGTCTATATATCTAGCTATTAATTGATTTAGTCTCCAATTTGAGATCTCCTTACAAATCGATTCCATATAAAGTGGAGTCAAAACAAAAATCTAACACTATACGCTTAACTATTCAATATTATTAGGAAAATGTACCTACACATTGCTATTAGATTAATGATACTTATGAAGTTTAATTCAATTCTTTTGTGTTTTAGTTAAAAACGAAAACAAGTGAACGACAAGGCATTTCAATGAAACGGTACTTTCAATGCCTTATTTTCGTCTTTATCTTTTGCGCTTGGGTTCTTGAGGTTGCCGATATGTGGAAGTACAAGGAATGTAAGAAATTCAAGAAAAAACACTTTATACATCCTTAGATTTACGCAAATATTTGACATTTTAATGACAACTATCTTTTGGGATTTTTTCGCGGATTTATTTTGATATTTGGTTTCCGACGTTTCGAAAGCTTTACAGCAATCATGATTACGGTAGAGACTCTCTCTCATGGGAGAGACTTGAAACGTTGGGATCCAAAAATCAAAATAAATCAGCAAAAGAGTTCGAAAAGACAGTTTTATCTAAAAAATACACTCTTTCGCATTTTTTATGTATTATTTTTTAGCTATTTAATGGTTTTTCAGGGTTTACACTTTATGTTCACTGGCAAAATTTTGCTGTCATTTCCATTTTAGTTATGATGGAATTTCAGTTTATACTCATCGCAATGTATATCAATACTGGATTCAAAGCCATAAATGAAAGTCTTTATAACATCGTATGTAAGTTATGAAAATGTTGGTTATTAATTTTATTTATATTTTCTACATTATTCCCGGGATATAAAAGACTTGTCTTACTTATTTTTTTTCCTCCTTTCTACTCTTTTTTATTCTGATTCTTCTGATTTCACAATTTCACTTCGTCATTTCTCAGAATGTTGCAATCCCATGTTCACATGCATTTACGCATACCTACATACATTTTCTTGTTCATACCATCTAATTAAATGTCATTAAAGCCAATTATGCATTTTTCAGCAAATTTTTATGAAGAAAGTTCAGAAAAACTTTTGAAAACCCATATTTTAAAACTACCAGTGAATTCAATTAACGCAGCAATCGATACGATCGGAATGACGAATCAACGATATCCAGGTTTCCTTAATATATAATAATAAGTATAAAAATAATTACTGAATTTATATTAAATTTATCTTCAATAAAAAAATAACTGAGTATCTTATTACAGATATGAAAATAAAACAAAAGCTCAAATTGGCACGCAAAATTCGGGAAGTTAGTCAATGCTATGTGGACGTGTGTGATGTTCTAAGGGACTTGAGCAGCTCCGAGAGTATCATTTTATTTCTTCAGCTTATAACAACAATTGTACATATCGTTATAACTTCCTTCAATGCGGTAAAAATGATAAATTTGGAGAACAGAGATGGTGATTACCTAATTTTGTTTAGCTCAACAAAACAACAACAACAAATCCAATATTCTTATTAGTTTTACTTGATTTTTTCTGATGAATTAAGCTACACTTAAGTTCAAAAATGAAATGAACTGAACACTATACCTTGTTAATTAAAAATAAAAAAATCAGCCATAAAGCAATTAAATATTCCATTATCCATATTTAAAACCAAAACATCTATGCACATTATACCTATTAAATAACCTTTTTTAACTATATTATTGTGACTTAAAACGTGATGTTCACCATGTTTAGCACATACTTTTGAGGATTCCCGATATTTCCGCACTGTTACAACCGCCATGGTGCTATAATAGTAATATTGTCAGTGATCTCTTTTCTTCATTGACTTATTTTTTTAACTAACCATTTTTCTCACTTTCCGGTCATGTGGCTTTGGAATTAGATCTAATAGTAGTATTACAAATTATTTGGTTCGTATTCCACGTATCGAAGACCATAATTTTAGTGGAGCCATGTTGTCGTGCTGAACAAGAGGTAATAATAGTTATAATACACCGCAGACAAAAGAATTATATAGACGGAGGCAGAAAAAATGTCAAAGTAAAAAATAGTCGAATTATTTTATTGTTTACGTTACTATTCTAGATTTTGACATAGTTTACTTTCTTTAAAGAATAAGGAAATTTTTAAAGCTATTCTTTCTCTTACATTTGAAAGAGACAGCATATCATTAACTTATATTTTCTTTATTATAATTAAATCCGTTAACTATTTTTATTTATTAACATTTATTTACTTATCGTAGTAATCAGTATTCTACGAATATTTGTATACGGTTTTGAAACATTATTTTTTGGCTTCATGTTTAGTTCTGTCTTTATTATTCCTTGTACGTACTTGTATACACAACCAACTTGATGACATATTTCAATTTTGAACTTCAAGTTTTTCATTTTAATTGTTTGAATTTAAACAAAGTTAGCTAGTAATAATATTTAATTATTTGATTTAAAAAACATTATTATTTTAGGTTGCCAGAACTCGTATCTTGCTAGGACAAATAATGTGCCGCATAACGTCTGAAGTCGATCCATTGCATGATGAAATAGAAGCTTTCTATAACCATATCTTACTTAACAACATCTCATATAATGCGTTTGGTATATGTTCTCTATCGCGGCCGCTCGTGTTAAAGGTTATTTTCATTTTATAAATCATTGCCTTTGTCATACATTCTAATATATTGCTGAATTTTTAGTTAGCTCGCTGGAAGTGAACCAAGTTTCCAGACGCACTGATGGTCGATGGAGCCGAAACGTGTAACTGAACACCGCGCTTAGGCATGCGTATGATAGGACGCCCTGCAGCACGATGGATAGATGACTGATGACCTAAGAAAGATAGCCGGCAGTGGATGGATACGGGCTGCCTAGGACCGGGATGTTTGGCGCTCATTGGGGAAGGCCTTTCTTCAGCCATTTCAGTGGGCGTGTAACCATTCGGGTTACTCCTGACACTTCTCTGTTAGCAGAGTGGACTATTGGAGCAGCCTCATGGTTGTTGTGGTCTGCTTCGGCAGACCTGCCGTCGGGGCGTCGTGGTTCAGTACGTAAACAATCCTGCGACGCCCCATTAAGACGGGGGAGGTTTTGTTGGGTTTTAGTGGGTAAAACTGGCTTTCCAGCCGGTGAGTCCCATATTATCACTTGTATGCTACAGGTGATATGCGTAAATGCATAACTCAAGATTAAAAAAAGGCCTTTGTTTAGCCGTGGACGGCGAAAGGCTGATTGATTAATTAACTTGTTATATATTATTCTTTATTGCACTTAAATTTAATACAAAAGATAACTTATAATAAGATTACTTTGCAAAGGTGGACTTATCTCTAGCAGAGATCTCCTCCAGTCAACCTATTTTTTTTCCTGTCAGGAAAAACCCTGTTCCCGGGTACCCGCTCGCCAATGGGGGATGCGAGACGGGTTATGTGGGGCTCCTGCCACGCAAAGATGGTGAACGCGCGGCAGCCTACCCACTAAAAAACCTGACAAAGCACCTCATCTAAAACGGAACACATGGAATGTCTATACGATCTAGACCCTGATTATATCCCAGCGACCATCTACTACCTCGATGGATCGCCAGTACCAAAAGTTTTGCAGTTTAAGTATTTGGGCTCATTGATGACAGCAGATGCAAACATCGATGCAGATGTAGCCCATAGAATAGACGTGGGGTGGGAAAAATGGAGAAGCTTAAGCGAATGCCCATCCCAACTAAGGGAAAAGTATATAAAACAGCAATCCGACCTGCTTTATTATACGGAGCTGAATGCTGGGCCGTTAAACAAAGTCATGAACATAAATTACACGTAAATGAAATGAAAATTCTGAGATGGTCAGGGGGTGCAACTAGGCTAGATAAAATCAGAAATGAACATGTAAGAGGCAGGTTTAAATTAGCCTCGATGAATGAAAATTAACAGAAAGTCGACTAAGATGGTACGGACACGTTATGCGGAGACACAATGACTATGTGGATCGCAGGGCGTTGGATTTACCCGAAGTAAAACGAGGAAGAGGGCGCCGCCCTGGCACCTGGTAGACTAACATGACCCGAACCATAAAACAGGCTAATATAGACATAGGGACAATCCAGGACAGAACTGCATGGTGCAAAATAAATAGGAGAGCCGCCCCCACCTAAAGTGAGAAAAGACAAACAGAAAGAAAAAGAAGATATATATATATATATACATATATATATATATTACATATATATATATATATATCTATATATATATGTATATATATATACATATATATATATATATATACATATATATATATATATATATATATATATATATATATATATATATATATATATATATACAAGAATTGCTCGTTTAAATATATTAGATATACTATTCTTTATTGCACTTAAATTTAATACAAAAAATAACTTATAATAAGATTACTTTGCAAAGGTGGACTTATTTCTAGCAGAAATCTTTTCCAGTCAACATATGGTAGTGAGGGAAAGCGTTGTAATTTGTAAAGCACGGTGAAGTACAGTTATATTTTATTATTACTGCATTAAATATAGCTATAGATGATGATGTTCTCCAAGCCGATTTCGGCTACGGCGGCCGATCTCATTGAGACTAGCCAACTGCGCAGGAGATATTATAGTGCACAAGTGCACTCTCTATTCCTGTCACTCTCTTACTCCAGTGGGACGACTGCTCGACACGACCAGTGAGAGTTAAGGCGCAGGACCGACGGCTTTACGTGCTCTCCGAGGCACGGGGGTGACACACCGCCAACTTCCCAACTCCGGGCTGTTACTGAGACTTACTATACAGACTATATACTGAATAACTCTCGACTCGAACTCGAACGGGACTCAAACCCAGGACCTCCGAGTGTGCAGCCGTACATGCTAGCCACTACACCACCGAGGCAGTTAGCTCATAGAGATAGAGCCAGACTCAGCTATAGATATCTCTCATATATATAGCTATACATTTAAAGATACTTACAGTTTTTGAAGTCATTAACAAAAAAAATGAATTCATTGAACGATATAGTTTATGATTAGTAAAAAAGAAATTTTAAGTCTAAAACTCAATAAAACAGATTTGGCTTCTACTGCATGTGAAATGGAAGTATTTAAAAGATTTTGACAAAAATATTTTAATTAAAGTGTTACAAGAAGGTTATTTCTACAACATGTTACATTAAAGACTGTTATGTTTATAACGTGGTTCCGAATTGGCCTAGCAGTAATATATTATATTAATATGCAGCAGTAATATATGACAAATACTACACCACGGTAATATTAAAACATTACCGTGACTATACATTTTGATCTTTCGTTTAATGTATTTCTTAACAAATTGTACGTATCGACTAATATTTACTTTGTATTCAGCCCTTTTTAAAGTCCCACTGCTGGACACGGTCTCCTTTTAATAATACGAGGGGATCAAACTATAGTCCATCAGTCAATATATGTATGCTTTACTGTCTTCTTTTTCTGTCTCCTTAGTAAACAACGCAGAATAATATGAATTTATTTGGCATTGCAGGTCATTGGTGGTGTCACAGCGGTATTAGTGGCAATTTTCTAAAATTAAAAAATTATAAAGCCATGTTTAACTGATTCTGAACACGAATCTACCTAATCCTGTCGACGCTATTCAGTTACAACATATGGCCTCCAAGTTATACTAATCACATTATCACATCGAAATGTGTACATCAATCAATCAATACAAATAAGTAAACTCATAAGCTGTTGCATTTTAAAATACGACCAAACCCGGTAAGCAGATGCTTTAACACCTACTTCGTATGATCGGAAAAAATATTTGGACCTCATTTTTAGGGGTGTCCCATAAGTGTACAAAAATTAAATTAATTCATTTTATTTTTTTCTCTTTAATACAAGTACTACGATTTTTGATTCACTCTCGCTTCGCTCTAGTCCGTGCCTAGGTTGATTCCCCATACAAACTTTCATCCCCATTTTCACCCCCTTCAGAGATTTCCGGGATAAAAAGTGCCCATGTCCTTCCCAGGGTCTCAAATTATCTTCTTACCAAACATCTAAATAATTTCAATAGATCCAGAGATTGCCCCCTACAACCTCACAAACTATCTCTTTATAATATTATATTTGTATAGATAAAAAACCGTTAGTATTTTCACGTATTAAATTTCACTTACATATCAAAATAATGAGCACTGTATTAATATTTGTGCTGTGTAAGAAAATATTATAAGGATAGTATTGTTTGTTTATTATATAACTATTAATTTCAAATTTTAATATTCAAAAAATATTTTGTTGTTAAATATAAATAAGTAATTATAATTAAAGAACAAATTATAAGAAAATGTAGTCACTATCGCACTTAATTTAGTTATTAACTTTGTAGGGAACAATATTTTAATTATATATTTTTATGATATAAGAAACTAGTAATTTAATATGTATAAATAGAAAATCTAGATAAAAATCAAAACTTAAAAAAAATTTAAATAAAATTATATTAAACTATCGGCTCACCCTCGCTTCGCTCGGGTTTGTCGATTGGTACGTTAAGTCGTACGTTGGTACGTTAAGTCGTACGTACGTTAAGTCGTTAGCCATATAAATTTTATTTTTTTCTATTTGTTCTCTGCTGTTTAAAATTTAAATTCGCTTTTTATTTCTATTTTTATTTCGCAACTAATGCCATCTTCCTTTGTGTTCAACGTTACGTGTATAAACTATCTTGTAAACTGTTGTCTTCCACTCCTTCAGTTTCTTCTGTCCAACTTTAACTGTACGTGTACTATATATTGTGCAATATATATGATTCAAAAGTCGGTGGTTTAATTTAACGCCTCATATAATAACTTTATATCACTTCTACCACAACCACTTCAACTTAATTTATTTACTTAGTTGTAAATGTTCTTTCATGTTTTAATAAAGGTTTTTTAAAATAAAAATAGATTGTGATGTTTGCTTCAAATTAAGAACCTCTGAGAGTCATCACACACAAATGATTTAGCTACATTAACCAACTTTACACGATAGCTAATATTTCGCTTTAAACACAGCTCAACACGATGATTCATATTAAAAACTTTTTAACAAAAAAATAAAAACCGACTTCAAACAAAAGCACTAAAAAGTAAAAAATAACTGATTGGTAGTTTTCATTTACTATACATACCTAATCAAAATTTTCGAAGTCGGTGTGCTTTGCTTTGTATGGGCTAGCACCAATTTCGAAAATATTTGATTAGGTATGTATTTAATAGGTAGACTTTAATTACTTAGCCAAAGCACACCGACTTCGAAAATATTTGATTAGGTATGTATAGTAAATGAAAACTACCAATCAGTTATTTTTTACTTTTTAGTGCTTTTGTTTGAAGTCGGTTTTTATTTTTTTGTTAAAAAGTTTTTATTTTTCCCCTTTTTAGTGTAGACAGTAGTAGCAAAGTAAGGATTCTAACGTGTTAGGCTTGTCAAATCAAACAAAATAAGCCCAAACTCAAAGTATCTACTATTAGCCG